ATTTTAAAAATATTTTACTTGAGCGTTGACCGCACATTATAATATTTTATTCATATTTGTTTTGAATTTCAAGTATAACATATATGTCATAAGCTTATTTGAACCCTAACAACAAAAACGTTTATCTACAGTAAGTAACTATCAAAAAAAAAAAATAAATAAATAAATAAATAAAGAATAATCAACATTAATGTGTAATACCTGGACATATACAATATATCTACTTCCTTATATAATTTAAGTAATACATTTATACTTTTTTTTAAATATAACATGTATTATTATTATAGAATAATGATATTGGTATTATATTTCTAGTATTTATATAATTATCTACATACATACATAATATATTAATTTAAAAATACATACAACAATTGCGTGTTATTAAATTTATTTAAAAGACTAATACATTAATCCTTCACGACTAAGACATTTATGATGATAAAACCGTACCGGTTTTATTTTTCTTCACGAAAACCTATAATTAATACGATAGAAAAAAGTTACTAGTAAAAGTGTAAACGTCACTGTCTTCAAAACACTAGCGTGTGATATGTCTGATATGAATCCTTGAATGAACTTACCTATAAAAAATATTCTATTTGCTGTTATTATAGTCAACTTTTTTTTTTTTAATCTAAAACGACCATCGTTTATTTTATCTAGCACATGACGCATGACACATCATCAGCCATCACCTTTGTTCGAGGATAATGTTTTACGAATCGTTACCCACATTACGTCATCTGTTTTTTGAAAGCTTTCCAATCTATTTAAACGGCAGTTTGAAAGAAAAAAAATTATATTGGTATTGACAATTTTACGAGTTACAAAGTTTCCCCGCGTTCAAATAAATCTTATTCCCAATGTTTTTAATTTAGTTTCTGAAAATCGTATATTGTTTAACCATTTTACGGCCAGCGCGTTATTATAAAACAAACGTTCCTAAAAACACGGTGATGACATGTAACCACCAGATGTTTTTTGTCTTATAATATTTTTCACTATTATAATATTACGTTATATAACTGTGAATACTTACGTGAGCATGATGGCGAGTGGGTTCTGCAGTGTTGTTCTCATGGGACTGTCCAGAGGTCCTCTGCCGAAGCCGGGCCAGGGCGCTCTTCAGCCCCTCCGTGTTTGCCCTACCGGTGTAAAAACCACGCCATCTCTTCGACTTCGCATCCGCCGCCGGCACCCCAAACACTTGATTTTATCATCTGAAAAATATAATGTTTTAATATTCCAATTTTTTTATTTAATAATTTTATTTGTTTTACACATAGTTTATATTTTTAAACATAATTTGACTTATATTATAATACACATTCGGAAACAAAACAAGTTAATACAGCAGCAGATGTTTTTTGGGAGAACTGCACAAACTTAATATCTAAATTTATTGTCATTGTGAAATATTCTTTTAATTTAAAAAAATAAAAATATTTCACTATGTTATTTACTTATTGAAAATATCTTTTGATAGTTCATTTAATTGAACACAAAAACAAGATAATTAATTATAATTTTTAATTTTTTTTTTTTGAGTTCATGTCGATTATTAGTTATTACACCATTTCTCGCTCCCCAGTTTAATTTTTGGAATACATATTTTCCACCAATATTTATTTTTATTTAATGAACGTAATTGTAGCAAGTAATTGTACTAGGAAAAACCATGTAAAATAAATAATAAAGATGATTAATAATTTTCAATAATAAATAAAAAAAAAAAATATTAAGGACTAAGCATGCAAATATTTTGATGTTCATTGAAGCAATCAAGTATTCAAATTCATTACTCATTAGCATGGTAGAAGAATTTTCCTTAGATTTATAATTTTACTTAACACTACGAAGATTGATCATGCTATTCATCATTATAAAACAATAATAATTAAAATATAATACGCCAATAATCATATTATATAAATATTTTGTTTTCAAACAAAATGTTAACATAAAGTTTTATCAACCATAAATAATTATATAACACATGGATTCGATGATGATATGATAATTTATGATGTAAAGCCAATGCGAAAAACAATAGTTTAATATTACATGGTGAGATACAATATATTGTTATGAATTATTTTACCAAGTCAAAAGTTTAGATAAGCTAAATCTAACCGAAAATTTTTAATATTTTATTAAAACTGTCGTTTGCTTATGATTTGGTTTTATTATAATATGCATGTGTCAACTTTTAAATTTAAATGTTATCGTGTTATATTTTTTTCTTGAAGATTATTATTTTATAAAATATATTTATAGAACTTGTATATAATACATTTTTAATTGTTTAAAAACTATTTCAAGATGTTTAATGTTAGTTTCTAAGTAAGGTTGTATATACTATAATATGTGCAGCTTGGTCAAATAGTTCCAAACAAAAACAATTTATTCCATAAGTTTTTATTTGTTGTATTAAAAAAATTTAGTGGTTTATCCCCACTGAACACTAAAAGTGTATTCAATCATAATCTTACATCGTATTTTTAGCTTTGCAAATGTAAAACATGTTTTTAAATAAGTTCCTAATAACAAATAGTAAAACTGTAAAACCACAATTATTGTGATAGTAGTTTTGTTTTCGAACTTTCATGCTATACAAGGCTTATTCGGGACCACACGAATAAAATGATTATGTATATTTTAAACCTAACAGGGCCGTCACTATGCATATTAAAAACAACGCACAAAGTGTATTAGGTTGGTAAATAGTTTATAAAGTTTCGAAAAAATTCGGTAAACTGTGCATGGAACCTGACAAAGTGAAATTATAATATAGTGACGCATAATACGCTGAAGCGAGTACACGTATGTGTGTGTGCGTGTACATAAATTGGAGACACGCAGTGAGGTATACACGAGATATATTATGGCTGAGAGGTGTTGGGAAAAGAGGCTTGTCAAGGGTCGGTTGTGATGAGAGGGAGAGGTGTAGGGGGAGAATCGGTTGGTGTATAAATAAGCAAATCTGCTGAATCGCGCATAAAATTTGCTATAAACACAAAGGGGTCTGAGGGGGTGAGTGGGCATCGTAAGTTTAGTCGAAGGTGTGTGCAAGTGAGCGTGTACGTAGAACGTGCTGGAAGAGGGTAAGTCTCAACCCGTTTTCCATGTGTAGCACCCCCAACCGGGGGCACTGCCATTAGCACGCGCATAAAATTATTATCTCGGCCACGCGGCGTTGCAGTGCATGTTCGGTTATCGATTAGGTTAGGTGTGATCGTAAAGTGGGTCTAGTGTCGGAAAAAGACCAGTGGATGATATGGTGAGGTGGTTTTAAATTTAAATTTAAATTATTATTATTATTATTATTTTGGCTTTTCCCTTAAGTGCCAGCAAGTCGCAAACGATTTGCAGTATGATCGCTGACTCGAACTACTAGGAACTAGTATTTGTATTTATTTTATTGTATTTAGATAAAAACCAAGAATGACTCAAATAAATAATAATATATATAAACTAATATAACAGTAATTTACGTAATTATATTTCATGCGATAATAGTAACATAGGCAAATAAAATATTAATTTTAATTTTAGCGAATATGTAGCATATTCTATAATTGGTTAACTCATAATATGAAATCCATATTTGGTAAAGTACTTGTGGAAAAACCAATCCGGATCATATTTGCTAGCCTCATAAATTCCTCAAGTGGATTATTATGACCATAATTAATAATTATGTGTGCTTTGATATTAGAAAAGTAGGACACGTTCGAGGAATGTATATAATTATTATACTGCTACATGTTTGAAATCAATTTTTACAATGTTAAATAATTGGATATAATATACACATTATCGTTAAAGAGGAAAAACAAATTCAATATACACAAAAAAAATCACATTTATTATCAAGAAACACAATCACAGCCTTAGAATAAAATGCGTTTCGGTTTGTTGGTAAATGATCGAGTCAAATGAAACTATTAACACAACGAGATCACCAATCGAGTGGGAATCGGATGTCATGTTAAAGGTGTAGAAAATGGTCAGTGACGAATAGTATCCGTATTAAGATTTACACTAAATGACTCAATTTCATGGTCTTTGGTGGCGGTACATAATGTTTGTCATATCAACACCCTTACCATAATCTTCCCTTCTCGACAACGGTTTAAATTAAGCGATTTCAGTCCACATTTTATACGGTTTAATCTAATGTGGATATCCACGATATTACAATGATCAGTATATAATTTGATGGAAAACGGTGACCACCGATTCTTCTTCCACTTCTATTTCGTCATTAATTTTTTAACGATTTCTGATAGAATTTTTTTTTTTTAACATATTCAGATTTTATAACTCTTGTAGATCTGTTCTTGATTGGATCTTTTTTTTTCGTTTTTAGAGCAAACTATTATTAACAGAAGTAATTTTAAGTTTATGTTATTCTGCGGAAAATTAATTTTAATCTATTACCAATTACCATGATTGATATATAATAATATTAATTATATTATTGTTCTATCACGATAAATCCTTAATCCAGAAATAGTTTGTTAGTATTATATCATAATTAGGTATACATAGTTACGTAGTGGTAACAAGATACAATTGCAGACAAATTAGGCTGCAGGTGTAGGCTTGCAGAATTTCCATGATTTTCTACCTATCTGTTTGGCTTTAGTTTCGTCTAGAACATTATAACATGGTGTATTACATGTATATATCCACGGTGTATTATTTTTCGAACGACGGACCTAAACGGTACGGGTACCGCACTCGAACGGAAGTGAAGCATATACTGTTATCCATCGCGTGATCGGAATAATTTCGTATGATATCCCACAAATGACGACAGGCGCCTGTGTATAAAATCAATATATATATATATATATTATACAGACGATGTTTTAAGTGCCTGTTTGAATGATTACGAATAACACATATTCACCTATATATTGGTAAATTAATAAAAATAATAATAATTTCTACTATACTGAAAATAAAAAATCTTCGAATTGGACTGACAAACGGTTAACGGTTGCGAAACACTAAAATGTTCGTATAATCAATTCAAATAACAACATATTTTATATTATCTGAAACTTTCAAATAAAGCAATCCATGAAATGTATAATATAATTGGAACTGTACATAATAATAATAATATTAATTGTTGAATCGATTATTTCCCTATATATATTATACCAATAATAACATTTTATACTACGTTATTATTTTTAAAATTAACAATATAATATTCATGATGACATTTTAGAAGCTTATAGTTTAAAATAGCATAGGTAAAAATATTCAATTAATAAAATAAAATTATTACACGAGGTGATCATTCAAATTTTGTATTATTTTTGACATTTAAGTAGATATTTTTTTAATCCTCTTTTTTTATTCATCATTGTTTTGTATTCTTATTCCCGATATAATTATCGTTTATTGAAATTGTTTATATCAAATAAATATTTAAAAAAAAGCATTTAACATAATAGTTATATATTCAATTTAAGTTTACTTTTAAGCCTATTTTATGCATTTATGACAATATTGTGAATAAAAATGCGAACGACTGATTTGGATTATCTGATGAATCAAATTTTATCATGGTCATTTAATTTGAGTAAACATTTTTTTTACCATACGTACAGTTTACCAAACTTCATTTTGGATAAAAATGTTAGTGAGTTTTGAATTGTTTTCTGAAAATGTATAATTTTCATATAATATGAGTTTTAAATGAATTATATTACCTATAAATAAATTATAAATCAATTTAGTTTCTTAGAGTGCCTATATGCATGTTATTGCGTATATTTTAATTTACTAAGGTTACAAGGTTTAATTTTAAGTTATATATTGGTTCTGATACAATTATATTACTATCAAATTCAATTTACATTTATTTAGAATCGTYGAAAGTTTAATTGAAATATAATATTTATATAAAAATAAAAATACCTATAGTTACATGAAAATAAGAAGATTTTAAGATTAAAAATGATTGCATTAATATTGAGTCTTCAGTTTCGTCAAAATGTAAACATCAAAGGCTCGTAAAAAATTAATTTATATTTTCGATCAATTTTAAATCTTAAACATTTTCAAGATATGTGAAAATATTCATATTGACACAATTATACAAAATATAGAAAGAATAAATATTAGCTCAAATTTGCTAACACATTTTGAAATATATAAAATATTGCTAGTATAATTATTGTATAAAAAAAATAAA